GACTGTAGCTATTGTTTAATCACCCTTTTTTGTGTAATGCTTGTTCCGTTCTTCTTTCTTGTTTTGGATGTAACAATTAATTCTATGCTGCGTTTTAATAATTGATGTTATGTGTTCATGCGGTGTATGACGGACGAACAGCACAAAGAAAGTTAATGCCTGAACTTCTTTTTAGAAGTGAAACCAGAGAAAATCTTTGCCTCGATTTCTGAGGAAATCGAATCACGTTTCGAAAAGCCGCCTGCTGGCGCCGTTGATTCGACGTGCGACGTAGCGTCGAAATCAGTAGCAACTGCTGCCAGCCGTGGTCGCTCTTCGCTTTCGCAGGAGTCTTGGTATTTTGGTGCTATCACCAGGGAACAGAGCGAAAAGCTGCTGTCTGAGTACGGAATCGACGGCGACTTCCTGATCCGAGATAGCGAATCGAACGTAAGTCGCTGCGCTGCCATTTGACGGCGTATCTTGTGCTGAAAACCGACTGACGACAATAACGTTGCTGTTGTTTTAGCCAGGCGACTTCTCTGTTTCGTTGAAGGCTCATGACAGGAACAAGCACTTCTGGGTTCGCATCAACGGCGACATGTACGAAATCGGAACGCGTCGGTTCTCTTCCCTGGAAGAACTCATCAAACATTACACTGAATACCCGATATTCACCAGCGACAAGGGCGACAAACTCTATCTGGTCAAACCTCTAGCAAAGCGTGTCACTTGACACGTTTCATTCGTCCATTACTGGCCCTCTCTGGTATTTTTTATAAATACAACCAATCGAATTGGCTCATTTTGGCCGTGTTATAATTTGGATTTGCCTATCGAAGGCTTAGGTCATGCCTTCTAAGTCACCAAGCTTTCGTATTCAAAGTTTTTTTGCGTCATTATGGGCAGCTGGCATACGCTCTATTTTTTATTAAACGTGATGCAGCGGGGTTCCATGATTGCGAACGGATCGATTGATTTCTGCATGGTTACATTTTATGTCAAACTTTTATACTGCGGTCAGGTCATTTCCATTCACTGTTTAACTCGACTAGCAAAAGTTGGCTTTGTGGTATAGTCATTAATCGGCTTCTTTTCTTACGTCACTACAGTAAGAAGTAGATGAATCACGAAAGCCTGAACAGTGGTCAGTTTCACTTAGCTGCAAACGTAGACTTAAAAAAGCATCGGTCCCCTGTAAGGATCAATAACGATCACATTTTTACGACTCAATCTGAACTTTGCTTTATTTACAATCCACAGCCACGTTCATATAAAACATAATAAGAGAGACAGTGAACACATGGGGAAGAGGAATACAGTTTACAAACGTCCGTCAAAAAAACAAGACGAGAGGCTATCTCTCATGCGACGCTTGCGTTGCGGTGTAAAATTGTGGCTTCTTCGCCCAAGGCTTTTCCCAGTCGTCTCTCAGGTCATCGGTATTCACATTCCAGTCGTAAGACATTCGCTTCTCACCTGTGAAACGCCTGACTTTCTTTAGACACTGCCGGAAACGAACTATATCTAGTAGTTTCTCATCTGTCCAACAGTCGTCGCCGTTTTTCTAATACCATAAACGCAAAAATTCAGAAAAGAAGTACGAAGAACAACTGAGCTTACGGCGTGCAGCTGTAGCTGCTTCACGTGATCCATCTGATCATCTATGGCTTGCAGAAATGAACAGCTGATCTGCAGTTTCTGAGAAGTGACCATGTGCAGCACGTCCAATGCGTAACGAAAGTCGAGACCGGAAAGAGCGTTACGCATCAGTAAACCAAGGGTTTTCTCAGAAAGTGTGATCCCTAATGCCTAAAATGATTTGTAACATCATCAAAAAATCACAAAAACTTTTCCGAAATCAGTTTCAACTACATTTCCGTCTTACCGCAGATTTCGTTAAAAGAGAAGTTAAAAAACGGAGTTTTACAACGCTGCGACATCACCCAGTCTAGCATATGCCTGAGCTGTTTAAGGAGGTTTGTGCAGCACACGGCAGAGGAAGGACACGCCCTCTGATGGTCAATGTGTACTGGCATCATCAACGAAAGACACTGGCTGAACAGGTACATCAAAATGACATCAACAGTTGTGCAACAACGTCAACCGTGACAGGATGCGAACTCTGCGCGGACTGGACAAGCCTTATTGCTACGAAACTGCCTGATGGACAGCACGGACCATAAACTAGTCTTCTTGTTCAGCCGTATCAATAGCTGTGAATAAACGGCAGAGGACTTCCGAAACACACAAACTTCTCTTTCTTGAAGAAGGCCCGTGAAATGTACAAACAAACCGTATTTTATCCTGTTTTCTGTATGAATGAATCAATGCACGAATGAAATACACCACCTAAGAGTATGTTTCATTTAAAGTGAAAACAGAACTTGAAACTGCTATTAAAAATTTTTATTAATACCTGAGAATCCCTAAATAGGACCAACCCGCGCTCGCGCCTGCGGCATCCATGCGCTAAACAGTAGAACGTGTTCTCGTTACACTGGAGGCCTTGATCTCGCATTTTGTTGAGCAGCTCCTAAATATAAGCTGTGCTTGACAGTTCAAATGCTCAAGAGACAAGTTCTTACCAGCGCACTGACGAAATCCCCCCTCTTACACCTCCTCAAAATAAGGTCGTTGTAAAATATGACGTCAGCGGTGACACGGTATTCGCGCAGCGTATCAAGGATAAACGAATCTGATTCAGCAACGTTTCTCATCAAGTCCAAACCAAGACTGAGAGTTTTCATGTTTGGCTTGGCGCCGTCACGTTCCATCGTCGACAGCACGTTTGGGAAGCCCCCTAAGAACGAGGTCCTAAAAGATAAGCAAACATGCATTCATCTTAATGAACTAGAATAGAAGGGGGATGCTTGTGTACACCGATGCTTATAAAGTATTCGACCGTTATTATTTTGTCTGACAGATGATAAAATAAGTTAGCATGTTAAAAAACAGCCAACAAGTTCTTCCTAGTCAGACACAATCTGTTGCTCATTTTTGTACTTCAGCATATATTTGTGGTTATCTGTCCCTTCATCTTTTCCTCTGATATAAACCGCTTTGAAACCTTTTCCAAGATTCATCCAAGGTGCACTGCACGTCAACCTGAACACATCCTTTCATCAAGAAAAGTATTCTGATAGGTGTCTACTTCATGGAAAGAATTTTGGTTACCGTATGTATTAATTGCTAAGAAAGCATAGTGAAATGAAATGATTCACTTTCTAAACTCAAAGAATGACGACAACGCAGGTGCCGCTTCTACACCCGGTGACGAGGTAGACAAATTTTTATAAACAATTGTTTCATCTAGGCTTACAAACAGTTGCTATGCTGACTGAATTAGACACTTTCTCGTAGCAGACTAGGTTCACATACAGAGTGGTTTCGGCAACGCTACACAGGTGTAGATGGATCTCTTTTACGACAGTCTGAGGGTGGTCTGTGAGATTAAGTTCGCTCTTAAAACTGGCCTGCGCCGAGTCTACTAGCAAGTATCCTGGTGAAGGCCTTTTATAAAGTCGGCAGCAGGAGAATTGAACAGTAATGTACGTTAAATGAAAATAAATACACGTAACTGCATTGCAAGGGTCCAACTTCGGCGCTCCAAAGTATCCGCCGTTCGATTAATTGAGCTGCGGATTCTGGGCTGTTATACACAGTCATGCTTTCATGTTCACTCTCAGTAGTGGACTGAGGTTTGATCTCCAAAGGCAAGACTTGCAGATCATTGGAGCGGGAGCGATCGGTCGAAACCGCCTCTTCAGCAGAGCTGCATATTTCGTTTTCATACGGTTGACTATCTGACGGTGCGGTTGTCGCACCGGACGAAAGAGCTTCCTTCAGCCAAGCATTGACTGCTGGATCTAGATGAAACATACCAGTGTGAGACTTTACTGTGATCAGTAATTACCAAGACCGCAGGTTCGACATATAAGCAGTAATTGGTTGTACAAAAGTGTATCCGGAACGATACCAAGCTGTCGCATCGCTTTCCATACCTAGGCATTTTTCTTATTTAATAACTTAAAATAGCTAGAAATAAATACCTTTAAAGCCAGCAAATAACCAGTCTCCTTTTCGGCAAGGCACGCCTGCAAAATATGCAGAAAAGTGCTATTATTCGGTTTCAGACCATCCGATATCATTATATCCGCAGTTCGAAAGACCGACTCTAATTGGCAATGCCTAAAGGTTGCCAGCTACAGAACACACTGAAGTCGATCGCATAGTGTCGTAAAATCAAAAGCAATAAATCACGAAAACTTCCACAATGTTCGTTTTAATCATTGCCAAGCTAAGCTAAGTTTTTCGGAATAATTCATGAAAATGCAGATAGCTGCCGTGATAGTAAGATCCTAAATACAGTTGGCAGAAACGAGGTTCCTCGAAGGACTGTCAGAATAGCGCGGTATGAAAAGTTTCAGAACATCGCAATGCTAATCACTCTTGCTTGTGAATCGTCCCTTTTTCGAATCAAGAAATAACCGTTGCGATGGTCTGGGCAAGCGTTCATAACAACTAAGGACAGACTCACGAGATGGACAGTTCGGAAAGCCACATGGCACATAGCCAAGGAGAATATTGAACACCAGATGGCTCATGCATATTAAACATCTAGATTTTGAGGCCTTGGCATCTAGCAAATGTAGTTTCCGTGATTGACAGAGGACGTATGTCACAACTAAAATCCCTTGACGCTGTTCAGCGCAGCATTCCAATTCGACAAAAACAGTGGATCAAGAAAATGAAATGCAGTCGGTACTGACAGGCGAACAAGTTGCAATCGGGTGTTTTAGCAGAATTTAAATTTTGAAAGCGACTCTCAAACGGAAACGAATTCAAACATTTCGAACGGTTTTAACTGTGAATACTATGTGAAGAAAAGTACTGTACTGGCTTTCAGAAAATCTTGATAATAAAGACCATATCGGTCAGCATTAACATACCGGCTGTTTCACTAAAGTCAGACCGGTAATACTCTATCAAATAGAATCGCTGCTTCACTAAAACACAGTAACGCACTCAACAACCTGGAATAATGTATGCTGAGGACAGAATAGCACGTTGGACCAACCACGAAACTCCGTGCTCTCGATGGATGCCCGGAACTGTATTAAAGTATTGGTACCTCGCATAAACTTTCATCATCACGTTGTACAGTGGTCGGTCCAACGGAAGGGGACACAAAACCCGCATTTGCTGAAACAAATTTTCCGCCTTTTCCAACGCGTCCAGCATGTCTTCGAACGGCGCATTGGCGCACGCGTTTAACAACGATGAGAAGATGTGCTTTGATGGGTGAATTCGTAATTGCTGCATCTGAAATGAGGTAGCTGAACGCCGCTGAGGATGGTACCAAGATCTGCATCTGCTCGGCTGAACCGGCTCACCTGTTCGAACAGCTGAAACGCCTTGGCGACTAGGCCTTTCTTGCCCAGCAGCGAGATAACAACAAAATAATTGGATACGTCCGGTTTCACACCGTCTTCGAGCATGCGCTTTTCAACCGTTGCCACGCATTCGGCTACCTAGAAGAGTAACCATCAACCTTGCGATCATCGCATGCTCTTCGCTTTAAACACCACAAACTCTTGCACGTCATTGTGTCAGAAAATACAGAATTTATGAAAAACGGCCTGGTTTAATGAAACAAAGCCTTACGTTCCAGAAGATCGCAGCCTCAGCACAGTTCGTGCCATTCAGGTTTCTACTAAACAATGAAGCATTTGCCCTTACTGGTGCTCTCAATCACATTTCGACCGTATTTCAGACAACATGCACCCTAGCCTGGAATCGCTGGTAACGCAAGGCTTTGTTCAAACTACGTCGAACCAATCCCCTCGGTCGAAAACTGTTACCTCTACACAACTCTTGCCAAGCAACGATTCTGCTAATTAGTAAAACACCTACGCACTGTTCATCACACATTCTTCAACAAAATCCGAAATCGGTCGGCGGCAACTGCACCGCTAACCACTTAACCCACTAGATCAGAGATGCTGCGTCGGTAGAGCGTTGGACTTAGAACCGAGAGGTCCCGAGTTTGATCCCCGATCGGGTCATTCGCCTTCCCAGATAGGCAACGTTTCTATGAAGTACATAAATGAGTACCGCTCTATGGGAAGGAAACAGGAGACTATGCGCCAGGCTTGTCATATGGCTGTAAATTCTGACTTTAAAAAAAGGCACTTCTGGCTGGGCATTGTAACGGAGATCAGCACTGCACCATAAGCACCATGAAATGGAGGACGCTACAAATGGCCCCCAATAATGAAAGTGTGAAGAAGTCAGACATTCCAACGGATACAAACTTACCTTTATCCTTCCCTATCCTACAGATGGTCTACTATAGCGAGATGCAAGAGTACTGAAGATGCTAATTAAGCAGCAGTCGCACACACACACACACACACACTGAAAGCGTAATAAATTATTAAAATAATAAACAGAAAAAAGATTTACTGAAATGTTACTAAAATTTAACTTAAACATAGCGCTTAAACTAGCAGGAAACTTCAAATGGGAGACAGCTTATATTTTTAATAGCACTAGCAACATTTTGACAAACATTCCTGAGAGTATTCTGGTTTTGTTTGCATATAGAAAAATCAACAGAACCTGCATGCGGTCAGATCCTCTGCTACTCACGGCGTTCCCCGTATGAACGTCTGAGCGTTCATACTTTTAGGAATTTTAGCTATTACTCGTGCTCCTTCAACGTATCGAACATTCGGCTCTGTACAGTACTACTAATTCTACTACTGTTACACTAATTTCCCTTTACCATGGTAGACATAGTCTTCTCAGCCTCTGCATCTGAATGAAGAGCCTTTTCAACATACCTATTCATTCGCAGTCGATTATCTTTTTACTGAATCATTAAAATATGAATACTTGAGTACTGAAAGTCTAGGCATGACATGGACTCTCAACTTCACAAACTGGCTGTTTTTCTACTCTTCAGATTGAAAGAATCCGAAATGTATTCCATTCCTCTTTTTGCTGATATAAACCGGTTGTTTCAGTATACGCGTTCTAAACGATTCAGCCATTGCCGTATAGCATTAAATCATCTGTATAGAACACGCAACATGAACCGCTTCCTCTGGATTCAAGTTAGCTCATTTAACACAATCGAAAACCGAGACTCAATACTAACAAGTAGTGAAGCATCGAAGACCTGAGCCAAAGGAAATTTATTCGTTACCCCACTAGTTATATCTTTGATGAAGTTAGCACACTATTTGGCGTCAGAATATTTCATATGATCCATCATGTTGACTTTCTTATTATTCCATCAAGCCGCTTTCAAGTCTAAGAATAATGTTGCACTCATGTTTCGTTCATCGTATGTTTTACGGGCTCAGTCGAAGTGTAAAGATAGTGTCTGTCGTCTACAAGCCTGGTATCAAACCAAACTAGCATTTGATTATGTCAATTCATTCTTCAGACGCCTGCACTGCATTATTTCATACAACTTCGTGACATGGCTCAGCAGCCAAATACTCTGATAATTTCCAAAAGGATAAACTCCGCCGTAGCCGGTCCCAAGCCCAGATAAGAAAGGAGGAGGGTTGGAGACCGTGGAAAGTCTCCATAAAATTCAGCCACCTGCCAATCACGGTATTGACGCCGTCGAAAATTATGCCGGCTCAGTCATCGCCCGGGGTACCAAGGGCCGCGCAGGCTGCTGGGGTACTGAGGCAGACCGCGAAGTCGGCGATCAGAACCTACTCATCGCCTTCTGCCAGCCGGATGCGTGGCAGCACAACGACGGCTGAGGAAGACCGACGGAACGACGTCGAAGTCACCCGTCAGCAACGGAGTCGCTATCCGTTCTGAACGGAGGAGGAAGACACCGCGATGCCATTAACACGTCAGAAAAGGCTCCACGAAAACGACACCACCAGTAGGAGCTTAAAGGCCGAAATTGGAACATATCCTCACTCAGAC